AAAACATACAACAGTGAGGATTCGCTGGTGGTCACCCACCCAACTACTAACTCACCGGCGTGTGGCTTAAGTACGGCTGAGCGGACGGGAAGCCCTGTTTTCCACACCCTATGGTCGTATGTATTTGTTACAGCATTAGAGGGAATCATATAGCAAGATAATTGGGGTTAAAAGACTGACTGCAAGAATAACAGAATTGGGGTGAACAACGGCAGAATATCATTGGATCGTGTTGTTTCCCTTGAAACGCTCTGCATCTTGGCATCTACACATAACTAGAACTGGAATCATTATACGGAGTACACGATAGGCAGTACTCCTTACAAGCTTTTTGAAACATATTCGAAAATCCCATCCGGCTTGGGAACAGCGGACTTGACATTCTGGATCTCTGTCCCCAGACAGACAAGCACATCAAAGAGCTTCTGTGGCTCCAATTCGCTCCTAGTGTGTTCTGCCACCAGGCCGATGAACCTCTTAAGCTCATCTCCAAATCCTTTCTGCTCTAGGCCAACTACGACATATCGAAGCTCAGGTACATTTGCCATGGATGCGGCGTACCACTGGATTATCGCTTTAACCTGTCTATTTCCGCCAAAAGCGCCGCAGCCCTAGAGTCTAGTGGTGACAAAGGAGTAGGGCTTCCGGACATTCCTGTAACAATGCGAGGAGAACGAGGTGTAGGCCTTCACCAATTCCCGATATAGACAGGCTAGTATCAGGTCCGGAATGCTCACTCCACTATGTGCATGACCGCTGTCTACAAGGTCCAATTCCAGGGCGTCCATGAATAGCATGACCCGGTTTCGCCAGTCAGCAGACGAGGGTATTGCTGATTTCTGCTAGGCAGTATTGACCAATAGTAATTAAGTCACCCATGGCGGCTGGAGGCCTCCATAAGGCATAAAGGTGGCTTTGCATGAGTCTGCAGTAATGTTGTACAAGCACAAGATGTCTAGGACTTCGAGTTGGACAGGGAAGAGGGGAGGCTGGAAGTAAATGCTAGTCCGCATATAGACAACCGTGTTTCAGGTCGTCAGTGATTTCGAATATGGCTCTATCTTGTTCGTGGAGATAATTTTCATCAATGTACGCCTCTCTACGACAGTATGATTTAAATCTGTTTATGTAGTGACTGCCCAAAGAGCTCTTGGGGTTTCGCCCTATAGCTGTCTTATTGTAAAAGGGACTAAGTTGTGAAAGGACCTGGTATAATAATCTTCCTATATGTCCAAACTGGTATATAAATTGTATATTGCGAGCATAGCGTTCTTCCCTATAACTCACTAGAAGATGCCCTATCCTTCTCACGCTTCCCGGGTCGATTAGCTGACAGTATTGACTGTGCATAACGAGGGACTTTAGTATACCACATTCTATAGTCGTATGTATTCAATCTAGCACTAGAGAGAATTATAGAATAAATTAAATTCAAACTCAATATGTTTAGGTAATATCCAAACCTCGAATCAATTATCGCCAGAATATTGGCACCCACTGGTCATAATCTCCTTCTTTTCCAAATTCCACCGCCTGCGAGTCCTTCCTTAATAGATAGAGCTCCGCCTCGTCTCGCAATTTCCTCGCCTCGTCGTTATCATACGAATCCTGAAGCAGTGCTTCGGACAGCTTGAAAAGCCCCCGCGCATGCTCAACAGGCATTATGTCGGCATGGAACTTGGTAATCTCGAGAGATTCACGCAGATGTTTGCTGCAGTGAAAATCAATTAGACTGGTCCCGAGGGGAAATACGATAGCTCAGTGTATAGATAGTCCGGGGACAAATTTTAGAAGATGAAGGGGAAATGGGGAGAGGAGATAAAAAGAAGGAACGTTCACCTACACAGCTGCCTCCACTTTCCCCTGATCAAGACATACCACCCCCGTTTTGTATAAGCATCCGGCGTTGAAAGGATGCAATTTTGTCTGGTCCCCTTTAAGCCACAGATTATGTGCCTCGATAAAATTTGCTTCTGCCGCCTCGAAGCTATTTCTTCGACGCTCAAGCAGTCCCAAGACAAAGTATGCGCTGTGGGGACGGGTCAGCAACGAACATTTCTTGTAAACACCCTTGTGTAGGCAAGCAGAGACCTACTAAGCCAGCATTGCCCAGTTAAGCGGTAGTTCCTGCTTGAACTCGGTGATTGAAATGTCAAGCAATTCTTGCGCCTTGTCATATTGACCAAGATACATCAAACACCTGGCCATATTCTTCTTCGTCACCGTCGGCCAACAAATTCCCCTCCCCTCCTTGACATTCCAGGCAATCCATGTATCCTTCGACTTTTCAAACCATATCAAGGCCATCTCATGATTATTGGCCGTGTTATAATTGTAAGCCAGGTTCTGCTCAAATCCGCCGAGAAGTCCGCCTTTCAACGGAATTTCATGCAATCGCATTTCGTAACCCTTGGTGTTGAGCTCAATTGCATTTTGCACCTTTCCCGTGCTCTCGTACATGCTGGCTTGAAGGGATAGCGTCCAAGCGGCGATATCAGTGGCCTTTTCTTTATCCTCAAGTGCTTCCACAGCCAGCATATTCACTTCACACACGTCTTCAAGATCCTTGAGTGCGTTGATCTCGTAGAGATATCTGGACTGGTCACTATGTGACTTTCAAATCAATGCAAAATATCAGACACGCTTACCTCTGACAATCCTTAAGAAGCTCACAAAATAGCGATGATACCCTGAAATTCTTCGAGACTCGCCGCTCTTCCTTGAACTTATCCACAAGACTGAGAACGTGTTGAAGGCAACGATTGCACCCAGTCCACTCTAGATATAGTTGGTTCTGATTAGCTCCATCGGACTGCTTGGGAAACGCACGATACACGATCGCGGTTGCGTTGGCGAAAGCTTTCTGTCGCTCATCAAGAGAGAGGAAATATCTAAATTGAGTCTGCACCATCCGATGGCAAGAAAATACACGAGCATCTCTGTCACGTTTGATCAAAGCAAGGGTAAGGAGGGGCTCTGTTGCCTCCGAGAAACTGCGCTCCAATTAGGTTGAGGGTGCTTCCAAGATAGGGCTCCTCATACCTGAACTCGTCGGTACAAAACTCAAGATCTTCTGGCAGATCGCTATCTTCAGCAAGATCAAAGAGCAGCTGTGGAATTTTCTCAGATACCAAGAATGACGCAATTCCTAAGAATACCCGGCTATCCTTCCCCAGAGTGGCAAATGAGAGATCCCACACAGCCTGTAGCTCAGATTGGTGAGCCCGTTTTGGGTTCTTCAAATAGATTTGCATGAATTCAGCAATAGACCACGATCGGCGATGAATCAATCCGGCCATGTGCGAGATGGCCAATGCATGACCACTCAGTTTCTGGGAAAGTTCAATTGCCGAATCACCCTCCACTTGGATGTCACTACCTATATTGCGTTTCAACAGGAATAGCAGAAACTCGGAGCCCATTTTCGCGTCCCATGAGGTTATTTCCAGACCAGAAGTGGCAGGCTCGTATGCCAAAGAATGGTTGCGGGTGGTGATAATTGCCTTTCCATGACTGGCCTCCGGCCAGTATGGCATCAATAGATCGGCAGACTCGACATTGTCGTAGACCACTAGCCATCTACAGTCTTTCTCATGTAATCAATAAGCACCAATAGAAAACCCTTATAGATGCTCTCGAGGAGTGACTTACCAGTCGTCTGGAACCAATTCTGGACAAGGATCAAATTCTCGTTGTGCAAGTTGGGTTGCGCCCCCGGTAACTTCAAGCGCATTGCAATATCTGTGAAGCTCTGTCGTAAAGAGGCTGTCTTCTCGCCATAGACCCAAAACACAGCTTCGTATTCGTTCCTCTCAATCTTTTGCTCAATATATCGTGCTGCAATCGAGCTCTTGCCAATCCCACCTAGACCAAAGATAGCAATGGATTGGAAAGATGTGTTTGATCCCACCCGACCTAAGACCTGATCGATTTTCTCAAAAGTCTCGACTCTGTCGAAAAATCGGGGCGTCTTTCTGCTTGGCAGTATCATGCAACGAAATTGCTGCGCAAGTGTTGCTGGGTCCGGGGAGCTGTGGTGATCTGGACCTGGGAGACGTGCCGCAATCAACTTTTCGACTCGCGCAACAGTTTCAATGAGCTCCTGGTTTGTAGAGGTAAATCGGCGCTGAAGCAGCAGCCATGGGTCATTTTGTCGGTCACGACTATCCTCGTCTCGTCTATCTGCGTTATCGGTATTAGTTTGCCTGTACAGTAGCTCTTTCCTTTTTGCTACAACTCACCATGACGCATTACCTCTTCCTCGCCACGCATAGACTTCACCGCGCTAGTGAAAAATTCCACTAGCTGAATCTGAATATCAAAGCATGCTTCTTTTATTTGTTCCGGATTGTCCCTCAGCGCGACATAGTAGCCTGTGAAGGCCTCTGCTTTATATCCAAGAGACTTCAACATCCGTGGAATTTTGGAGAGCGCTTGCGGATCTTGAGTAGTAAGCTATCGCGTTGTGAGCGGAATTGACCGTTGAAGAATCAAGCCTAACGGCTAAATGCTCACCTGGAGTAGGACGCCGATGATGCCCCAAAAGAAATCAGCTTGGAGAATTGGGGCCAACTGAGTCTCGAATATTTGTGTAAACTTATAGAGGTGGCCAAGCGTTGGTTTGATCAAAGCAATCTCATATGGAACCACTACGCCAGCGCCTGTGTCTGCCGATCCCCACACATATTTCTGCATCGAATCCCAGGAGGTGATCGATTTTACCTGCCTCAAGTCATCTGGCTCCAGTGATTTCTCGCACTGCTCGATGGTTGCTTTCCATTGACGGCCGAAGAAGCTTTCTCTAGCGTGAAATGGTCAGCTACCAAACATTGGTATGCTCTCCGGTTCGTGTTGGCAACCTACAGGTCCGAGGAGTCCATCGCGATGTGGAGGCAGTAGAAAAGCGGCCGTAAAGTGGCAGGATAGTGTAGCAGAAAGTAAATTTCAAGTGCGAGGCTCGTTACTTGGTATGAAATGGAAGGAAGGGTTCTCGCAGCTAGCTGCATCTGTAACAGGGCGTAACAAACATTCTGTGTGTATTTCCAAAGCCCTTTGTGGAACAGTGCATATGTGGCGTTTGTTCCAGCTACCAATTAAAATCAAGGTCAACGAGAACGAAACATAGGCTCCAACAGCAATTATATCAGTTCTTCGCAAAATTGTTAGAACTTCCGAGGATATCAATACAAGAAATGAAGCTCTTGGAATTAGGGCTTTGAAGGGTACGTAGCAAGCCGATGATTGAAGTATCACGAGCGTTGGGCGATTTACTCTGAGACATCAACGGGGCCTGGCCCCCGCAGATCCAAATTATGCGGGTTTTATCCCGCTTTACGAAGATCACTCTGGCGATCACATAGCATCTTCAGCAAATCAACAACACTCATTTTGTAGCCATTGGCAGTTTACATGTACGGTATTGGTATTAACCCCGAGGCACCCCGCGTCGAATAAATAGCCATCCATGCTTTCCTGGCTGAATCCGCCCGGGTTTCTTTTATGTAGTCTTCCTGTGACCACGCACCGCTACTTATTCTTTGTTTTCTCATCCACTATACTATGCTCACGACTTGTCGCTTATACCATATAGCCATGGTCAAACCAGTGAAGGTTCAATACATCGGATGGGAGGATGACTTTCGCTACGCCGAAGAGAAATCTCGGATCACAGAGCATATTCAAAAGATTGCAGAAGATAACGGATTTTCCCATGCCTTGGTACAGTGAGTACATCCTGAGGTTTACCTGCGCAAACGAAGCGGATAGCTAATGGACCTTGGGCAACATAGAGACATGATCATGAGATACCGCTACAGATCCCAAGGACCATGGATAGATGTGCATTTCAAGCGTGAGCAATGGGTCACAAACGGAGTAGGGAAATACGTGTTTACAAGATTATGGTTTAATGAGGATGGGGACCTCGACAAGGATCCGGAGTTCTTCGAGGTAGAAAATTGATATCTGGAATAACCTGAGCTACTCGGAGACTTTCAATGGATATATAACTGGCCTGCAATGTTTCGTAAACATAATTACCGGTTAGTAGTTACCCAGCGCACTAGGATTTTTCAATAATGCGGGTCAAAGTACACTGGCTGGCGGTCGACTCCCAAAGTGGAAAACTGGCGTAAGCCAGTACCCCTCACCAGCTGCTTCCCAACCTCTAGCTAACCATCCGACAGATTATGAAGATACGTTTTTATCACTTCAAACCGTCAAGTTAATGTGTTGGCCTTTTTCACACAACTCCTATGGCTTCACGAATCTACGCGCCTTCCCCTTCGACATTCGCCGAGGATCCGGATCGATATCGCGAGAATGGACTTCATCCTCTCACCATTGGTGATATCCTCAAATTCGGTAGATACCGAATAGTTCATAAGCTGGGCTCAGGAAGCTTTGCCACCGTCTGGCTCGGCAGGGACACATCAGAGAACAAATATGTCTCTCTGAAGATCTTGTCTGCCGACACCCCTCTTGACTGTAAAGAGCTTCGGATTTTACAGGAGATAACTGAATCTGAATTAAACCACAAAGGACGAGAGTTTGTTGTTCAGCTTCTCGACCATTTTACCATCGAGGGCCCCAACGGCCGGCATCTGTGCGTTGTGACCCCTGTAGCCGGAGACCGTTTGGCGAGAAAGCCCGGGTTGCCTTACAACTCCTTGGAGTGGCCTCGAATCATTGGACTTCAGATTGCAGAAGCCTTGGGTTATCTTCACGTCTTGGGCATTGCGCATGGAGGTCAGTCTTAATCGCATTCAGGTGCCCGTGGACAATGTTTAACTTCGAAACAGATTGTTACACATCCAATATTCTCTCCCAGGTTCTCCCATTTGACGATTGGACCGAAGAAGAGCTCTATGCTTGCCTAGGACAGCCCGTTAAACATCAAGTACGTCGCTTGGATGGGATGCCAAGGGAAGACAATGCCCCCGAGTACACAGTCGACCCCTGTGATATAACAGCACTAGAAGCTCGTCTGTCCACAGACCGAATTCTCCTCATCGACTTCGGAGCTGCTTTCTATCACCACGAAAGCCCTGAGCAGATCTTCACTCCAGCTCCATTCGCATCCCCCGAGATTCTTTTCGGCGGCGAGCTCACGTTCGCAGTCGATAATTGGGCATTTGGGTGCCTTCTGTACGAGCTTTGTGCCGACCGCAGTCTTATTAAATTACTTTTCGGATGGAACAACGATGCGATGAAGGACCAGGTGGCTATGCTTGGGAAGCCTCCTGATGCTCTCTGGCAAAACTGGGAGGGTAAGGACAAGTACTTTCACCCCGATGGAACACCAAAAGAAGCCCACGATAGGCGTCTGAAGGTCTACCCACTCTCCCTGAAGCAAAGAGTGCGAAACCTGGAGAAGCCCCTCAGCGAACGAGGCTACGGAACGGGAGACGAAGCGCCACTTCCACCAGATCTCCAGAACTTGTTTGACCTTCTCAATGGTGTCATAACTTACGACGCCAGGTCCCGCATGTCATTCGAAGGAGTACAGGCTCATCCTTTCTTCAGAGGCGTTAATATCCCGGGGTGTTGACGATAGTTTATCGTCCCAGAAGATAAGTGCACATTTGGTTTTGCATAGCCTTTTGGAGCCATGGTAGCGATGAGATATTGAGATGGCCGGATCCTGGCAATTGTGTTTTGGTCATTTTTCCTATCTTCTGTTTCTTTGTCTCGGATTTATCTCGATTCTCTAAGAACATGAGCATAGCTGTGTATGATTGAATAGCCCGCCACTACTGAATTCACTCATGGTAGAAGCAAATCCGTCTTTTTCAACATATAATTTTCATCGGTACGAACCAAGTCGTTGACATCGACTCAATACGTTTTCTGACAACCCACTAACCAGTCACCAGGTGTAAGTCAGACACGATCATTCGACTGGAGCTAACGGAAGAGGACGGAAATAACACTATATTTTGACAGCCTAGCTCCCCTTGAGGGGAAATTGATTGGAGAATACGTCTAAAATAGCCCGAAGTGAGATTATAACACTGCAAGCAACGCATGCCTGAAACCGTGGACACACGCGCCACCACCACCAACCTTGGCGTGCAGGAACATAATATTATGCGCAAATGGTATTCGGGATACGCCATTGAAGAGGCATGTTAACACGTAAAGATTCAAAAACGGACCGACGCTCGACTAAGAATATACCGAACCCCGCTAGAACTGTCCGGGGTCGAAACCCGCGACTTTGGCATACCCAACTGGTGATTTGCGCATTGGAAAGGTTGTACGGGCCACCTAGACTCGGCGCGTGCAGATAACAATAACTTGGCGCATAAATTAAATGAATGGTGGAATTGTAATATCCGACTTTATCTGCTGATACTCAGCTCAACGTTTACCGAAACCCCAAAGCGGCTGCGTGCGTTGAGCTGAGTAGTTTGTTACGCGTATTCGATGCACCTTCCGACGAGTAATATCGAGCGATTCATCCCGTGATTAACTTGCAGCTAGAATGGGAGCTGTAGGTCTCAGTTGTGGTACAATTTCAAAAATTGGTTATTTTTTGGTCATGTACCTTTCGCATACGGATGTGATCTGAAAAGATACAAGTTCTTTACGGTTGGGAGCAGGTAATGTATAGCATAAACAAGTATCAATCTTCATTAAAATAACTCTCAATAATACCTCTCGCAGTCGCCATCATAGAACTGCCGAGGACTACCCTTCGTAACTCCTGTTGATCTGATGCCCCCGATTTTGAAAGTCTGTTTCTCGTCTTGACGAGATAAATGAGCTCCCACTATCGAGTAACATAAAGCATAAATCACTTCCTAGTAAGGGTTTGTTAGCTGCGTACCTTTGCTTGCTATTCGTAATACTCACTTGACAGACCGCGAGGGCTTAGGCTTCTCCTTCGAAAAGTCAACATCGGCTCTAGGATCGAGCGCAATGGTTCCGTGTTGACTCATGCCGTACTTGGCGGGATTCATGCCGGCGTCAACATCATCTTTCATGGTAATAGCTTCTCCCTTAGGAGTTGAGCCCATCAAGGCCGTATACCACTCCCGCCAAGGCTGGACGAGGTCTGAGTTGATATTTTCCGCGGGCATGTTGCTGGTCTGTGATTGGGATTTTTCTTTGAAGTGGGAAAATTTAGGAGTTGAGCTTGGAGGTTCGGCAATGAATTGGGATATGTGGTACTATATAACTGTTTTATCGGCAATGGGAAATTTTGGGCTCGCAGCTTTCAAGAGACCGCGACCCCTCTTCTAGTCTACGCAATGACGGGTATTCCAGTAGTTCTCACTAACAAGCAGTGGAACACGGTGGTCAAGTGGTTATCTTGCTCAACGTGGAGGAATACCATTTGACAAAGATCCCTGTAGGGGCTTACAGGGATGGAAGCAGCTACGTGGACCTTCGGATTGGGCTGGTCCTTTGAAAGAGATGCACATGCAATCGGTTACAGTCTAGTATTGCCTATACGGCAGTTGGTATTATCTGTAGAAAATCCCTTATATACCTCACGCACTTCCACCAAGCAATAAGACCCGCCCATTAACTTTGCACACAGATTATACCATCAATTAGTTATGCCAATATGGAAACTACGATCTCCTATTTAGCTCAAGACCCCATTCTCGACATCGAAAAGCCGTTCGATACCGACGTCCCGGTTGATCACATCCCCGGCGCACGCGCCTCGAACCATCGTAACGATGAGAGAGATGTGAAGGTGTATCCAATCACTGATCTTAGCGAATGGGACCTCGAGAAACATGGTTTCTGCTTCATCAGAGCAAAAACGGGACTGAATGCTGAGGATGCATTGACAAGAAAGAGGGAGGTACAGAAAGGTTACTGGTATGAGATTGAAGCGATCTTGCACGAGGCTTTCCCACAGTACTCGAGAATTGAGTGCTATGATTGCACGGTATTGTGTTATTCTCAGTTCTACACTTTGAATTGTATCTCACGCAATCTGATGAGATATAGGTTAGAAAGAGGGACCCGGATTTCCCTACCAATATCAGGATCTATACCAAAGTCGAGCAGCCAGCACGAAGACCGCACAGTGATTGTTCGCCCAGGGGCGCGCACATGAATCTTGAGCGTGCGTTCCCAGGACAGGAAAGCTTTTGGGAGGGCAAGGACTTCGATATTTTGAAGTAAAATGACCCCTGTCAAGCTACTTACTTGATATGGACTAAAGTATTCTTCCTAGCGTTTGGCGACCACTCCGAGGCCCAAATAATGACTGGCCTCTGGCGATGTGTGACTGGACGACTATCGACCCTTCAATTGACGTTCGCATCAACGATGCCATCAGACGTGATCGGGTTGATGAGAATGCCATTCTGCATTTCAATGAGAACCATAAATGGTATTTCATGAAGGATCAGTCGGTGGAGGACTTGATTGTCTTTCGTAACGCTGATTCCTTTGGGAAGCGTGCTCGTAAGCTTGATTCTTACCTATCTGGGGAGACATGTGATGAAATTTATACTGACGTCTCTGAAGAAGGATTCCACTGTTCGGTTTTGAATCCGGAGACGAATGGGCAGCTCAGGGAGAGCGTTGAAGTCAGGTGTGTAGCATTTCGCTAGGGTTGTGGTGTACACGGAGTGTTTTCGTAGCATAGTATAGCTTCATGATGCAATCAATTCCAGCTGACTTATCGCACAAAGCGTCGAGATGATTCTTCGTATGAAATGGGAATCAACCAACACCATTACCTGATTAGTCTGATTGATTTGGCTAGTGAACTGATCCAAAAAAAAATGTAACGTGTACTGTTGCGGCTTAGAGTGAGTCCCCATCTGGATTCTGCGGGTGTTGTATATTTGCCCGTAATTGCCCGTAATTGCCCGTAAGGTTCAGAATACAAATTTTGACAGAATCATTTAGTTACAAGGCATAAGCCCTTTTAAACCTTCTGCAAATTGGGCTTGGGCTATGCAATTCCCTCTTTCAGCCGTCGACTCCAGCACTAAGATGTTTGAAAGCGGTACAGAGCCAATCACCCATACCGAGGCGAGATAAGAATTAATTACCTTCTTGGTTAAGGCTTGCGTTACCGATTCAACGCCTAGAGTCATTTGACTTTTTCGGGGTTTCAAATTGCATGGGTGATGGCTCGTTCTGCAGTCCCTGCATGCCCGGTTGCCAGCTCACGCCCCCTCCTGCCTGAAAATTCAGTACCGCCTTCTAAATTGGGTGCGACATTGGATTTTACCATCATTTCTGCCACTATAGAGTTTCCTGCCAATATTCTGCCCACGTCTGGTTTACATAGTAAAAAACATTCATTTTGATCAGAAAAAAAACGAACGGAGTTATATTCTGCCTGATTCCTATGATCTAACCCCTGACTATGAAGCAGTCATTAATGAAGCAGTAGTTGATAAAGCATTTGTTGATGACGCAGTTGGCGATGAAGCAGTTGATGTGATAGAAGTGACATAATTTTGTTAGTTGTTTACATACTACTCCGTACAAACTGCAGGTATCGACGGAGTATGTACTCCGTACTGTCTCGCTACTCAAGGTTGTGTAGGGAGTTTGACACTAAAGCGGTGTAGATAGCGGTAAGTAGGAGCAGGTGTCAAAGTATGATCTATTCCTAAATAGAAAGGCGGTATTGAACTTTCAGACCCGTCTAATATTAGTATCTAGTTTCTCGCGCATGGTGCCCTAGAATGCACTAAAATCCGGTCACGGCGTTACTGGCATTGGATTGGATCTTCCGCAGTTTTGCAATCCGAGGATCAACTTGAACTAGCCTTGGCTATACCGCAGCAGTTTATGTTGGAGCTGAATAATATGTCTGCACTATTGCAGCAGCAAGCTGGAAAACACTCAAAAGAATTGAAATGCCACCCACCCATAACACAGCCCAAAATGTGTACCACTGCAATGGATTTCTCCGATCCCGCCACAAATCTCTAATTCTACTCGGTTGCTGCTTCAGATTGTACAGCTGCACCGCCAAGAGACGAGGGCCGAAATGCGGGAAGTCGTCCCGGGCGGAGTAGGTATCTGACTCGATGAGAGAATTATAGAGATCGATGTTGGAGGTGGGAAATAGCTCGACTGGGATCCTAGACTTCGTGAAGCGGCGGAGGAAGCGGGACTGCGTGACCGAGGCGCTGCAGATGGCGAGAAGGAATGGGTCAATTTCCCCGGAAAGTTTCTTGGTTTGCTCGAGTAGTTCTAATGCAATTTGGCGGGAGTGTGAGGACTGGCCGAATAGAAGACGGTATGAGAGTAACACTTCACGGTGGAGAGAAGATGCGTCGTTGGCTAAGCTGTCTGTATAAAAATTGGATGGAAGAAGCTCAGACGAAACCCTGGCAGAAGGTTAGACAATTCGTGCAAATACATTTTTGAGGGCATGAAAAGAGCTCACTGATAGAGAACATTGAGTTGCTGTGTCTGTAAAATGCTGCTCGCGCAAAATGTTGGCAAACAGAACACGGAAAGTGTCCGGGATTGTCGATCAAAAGCAAGATGAGATGCCAGATTCTCAACCCATTTCACCCTCACCCGACCTATCGTATATAGAGAGTAACAGTTGACACTTGATTCGTAAAGTATATCTGTCGCTGTAGCCCCATCGTGTCTAGTATCTTCCAACGTACCCTTAATGGCACGGAATAACTTTTTGATTGGCCTTCTGGCAGATTGCCCGAGGGGAATCTCACCAGATTCCCCTGGCCTGCTGCCATACTTTGCGCGTAGGAATAGAGTACGATCATTTCCCGATGCTTCATTGGCCTGACCAAGTTCCAGGTCTGGGTCTATCGTCATAGATGCCCAGCATAGTACTGCAAATATTGCAAGAAGAGTGTGGTCCTTCTCAAGAGGACTGAATCCGGCCGAATTTCCTTTGATCAAATGATGGTAAATCTTCTCCATGCTCACAGTTTCATCTGCCTGCAGGCTCTGGATTCCCCGGAGCACTGCAAGGAACCAGTGCCAGCCATGAACAGCATTGGATGGTTTCTCTCGCTTGAGGATTTTCCAGATAATTTCGAACTCTTCGCACAGCAGGCTTTCAAACTTCCTCTCCAAATGGTTGCATAAAATATGTATTCCTGGCCATTGTTTTGCATGTGAGATTCCAAGCCCAAAGAGCAACTCTATTGCTTCGAGATGGATATCCAGGGACATGTCTTCGGTGGTTGTAGCTACATGAGCCTTGTATTAGTTTGATTTTGATTCCTTCTAGAACACTAATCTCTCTTACCTGGTTTAGGTTTCATCGAAAGCATAGAAAATGATGGCTAGGAGAACTGTATTTAGTTGATGGGAACCGACAGAACACATCACAAATACAGATACGGCAAAGCTCACATGTATGATACCTGCAGGGCGCCGCCATATTGCCGACAAAAAATCTGAAATGTCTCTTTTTGCGGGGGGTTGTCGACCATCGTGAGCTTCGAGATCCGGGTCAGAAACCATGCCGACGAGAGATTGGATATGTATGGAACTTCTGACTTCGACTTCGACATTGGCCCCTGAGACGCATTTCAAAGGAGGTCAACTCAACCCTATGACCAAGAGAAAGAAGACGAGTCTGAGTAAGCAAAGCAATACCCCCCAAGCGTTGCTAACCGGATTGAGCGAGGATACGATGTGGTTGTCTCGGACTTCTTCACCCAGTTGCGTTTGTTATGCATGACGTGGAGTGATAGCGCTTAAAAAATAAGATTACAGTAGAGCTGAACTCTTCTTATTTCTCAATAGCTTTTTCGCTCCACAGAAAGAAGTGAAAAGCTAAGTTGCCACTCGTTATGCCTCCAGCAGGCAAAAATTGCTGCTCTTTTATTTCGACGTAGGAAAGACGGCCATCAGCCTGGGAAGGTTCCATTGCTGTATCGACCAGATCTTCATGTTTCGAAAGACTCACGGGTTTATTTATCGGCGGTTTAGGCGGGTTCATCACTTTCAAAGTATCCGAGAAGAGGTAATGGGCGGGTATGCATGGCTTGTCTCTTGACTTGTAACCACATAAACTTCATAGAAAAACACGATACGGTATTTTCCATGCAAAAGAGAGGGGCGGTAATGAGCTCCGATTGGCCACGTACTAGCGTGGCGCGAGGCGATCACACCTGAAGTCCCACATCGGGTTCGATTGGACCAAGGGCTTGATACCCTGCTGCATCCAGTCAGCGCTAGTCCTGTGACCAGCGGCCTTCGAATTTATGTTTCAAGTAGTACATAATTGAAAAACTAGTGGCATTAAAATGGCGTTTTTCCACCTTCCCACTGCCGTCGGAGTCGGCCCTCCGGAACCGCGAATTGGGTTTTTTGACAGGTTTCTCTTGGGAGATTCGGTGACGATAGTGTCAGCTTCTCGGTTTTATTTTAGGCATAATCAATGATTGAGAATAAAGAAAGAAATTGCTCGGTAGAAAATTCTACCAATGTGTCCTATAGCATGTATGTGTTCTGTAATTTCAGTCAAAGAATGTGAGGGCCTGTTGGGTAGCGCAGCCCCAATCCCCAATCCCTGCCAACTACGCTGACTGAGCTCCCCTCCCCATCGCTTTTACGGCGCTACGTCTTTTGGAGCACGAATCAGTCTACCCCTCCTCCACATTGAACATCGCTCCACGATAGCTACCTTGCCTTTTTCCAAGCCTTGAGGTGAACTGTTTTAACTCCCCCTGAACCTCTTATCATTCATAACCTCCCTCACCGCTGCATCAAGTACCATGTCCGTTCCCCAAAGCTCCTTTACCCCGCCTCCTGGCACACCAATCCATCAGCTAGCCATAAAGCCGATTTTCGATGCTCTTGAGCCGCGGGAGAAGTTCTATGCTCACTATTGTGCACGGGCAGCATGGCATGGGAGCAGAATTATCATGCGGCAGGTATCGCCAGAAAGCCCTGGCATCTTCGACTTCATCATGGACCTCTATCATGCTTGCGATGGAAAATGGGACACCTTAGTCACCCAAAGCAATATCACATCCGAAGAGCTCGAAAGATTTCTGGAGTATGCCGCAATGTTTCTCTGCAACTTAGGAAACTACTATGTAAGTTCGGCGAGATCTTTCTAGCAACAGCACTGACTGTGTAATCAGGGCGAAGGAGACCAAAAGTTCGTCCCAAATCTGACAGCCGAAGCACTGCAAAGGATCGCAAGCATCTCCCAAAAGACGAAGGAAGGTCTAGACAAAATCATCGGTCCGCTATTGGCAGTCCCGCCATTCAACCTTGGATATCCCAGCAAGAGCGCACAGTCAGGTTATTACACTGGCACTGAACTCATGTCACAGAAGGAGATTGCTCGAGTGTCGGAGGCAATGATTGAACATTCCATTGGGCCAGAGAATACCCGAGTTCGAAAGCTAATTCAGGATGGAAAACCTATATATCATTTGCTTCAAGCTTCCGCGGAGACTGGTGTTCCCGCCAATGGTCTACACGAACTGGCAAATGACATATTCATCGTTAGAGGCGATCACTCGGTGGAAATGTCGAACATCTGCTCGGATCTGGCGAGAGCAAAAGAATACGTCAGCAACAGCAGGCAAACCCGGTTCTTGGAGCTCTACATCGAATCCTTTAGTACTGGTAGCCTCGAAGCTTACCAGGAGTCACAAAAGGCGTGGGTAATGGATGTGTCTGCAAGAGTAGAGAATATGATTGGTTTCATCGAGAGTTATCGTGATCCGGCTGGGATCAGGTCGGAGTGGGAAGCTATGATCGGAATTTCCGATCCGGGCGAAACATTGAAATTGAAACGCTTTGTTGAGAGTTCAACTTCTATCATTCGACAACTCCCATGGGCAGTCGATGGTGTCAACGATGGGAAAGGCCCGTTTGAGAAGAGTCTGTTTGAAGCTCCTGACTTTACCAGCGTCCACGGTGAGATAAAGATTGTCTCCTCGGCAAGTTAAACCATATACTAATTCCCTTAGCGCTTGCTGTATGCGGCAGTGTCGTCTTCGAAGCCGCCAATCTTCCCAATGTAAGCTCTGGAAGGGGATTTCTGGATTGAATGAAGCTGACAATGGAGTTAGTACGAATATATTCGAGAAAATTATGGTTTTAAGAATATTGTTCTCGCAAATCGTCTCAGTGCTAACAATAACCCCAATCTACCAGTGCCTTGGGTCGATCCATCAGAGTTAGAGCACTTCCGCAAGAGCACACATATTGTCAGATTTCTCACCACCGCTATCCATGAACTGGTGGGCCATGGAACTGGTATACTCCTCAGCGAAACCGCTCCGGGCATCTACAACTTTGACCAGCAGAACCCGCCGATCAGTCCACTGAACGGGAAAGCCGTGACTTCGCACTATTTACCTGGCCAAACTTGGAATAGCGTTTTTGAAAATTTGGCAGGAACAGTGGAGGAATGTCGTGCCATTCTAGTCTCGGAATATCTCATGGACAACAAGGATTTGTTGTGTATTTTCGGGTACACCAATACCAGTGAAATCACGGCTGACGACCGTAAGTGCTACCACGACCGTGAATTTAGCTTGCTTACTAACCCAATTTTAGTCCTTTATACCACCTATCTCAACATTGGTGTCGATGGGCTTCAGGCTCTCGAACATTATAACTTTGAAAATCAGGCTTGGGGGCAAGTCCACCACCAGGTATGTATTCCTACCTTTTCATGCTCTAGACTTATTAAAACTAAGCTGCTACCTAGGCTCACTTCTCCATCCTGAAACACCTTCTCCAAGATGGCGGCGGCGTTATCCAAATCTCCCATGACCCCAATAACTCCACTCTCACCGTCCATATCGACCGGGACAAAATCATCTCTCACGGCAAACCCTCTTTAGGCCGCTACCTCTGTCGTCTACATATATGGCGGTGTACTGCCGATATTTCCTCTTGTAAGGAATTCTATGAGCCCATGTGTGCTGTTGAGGGGATATACGAACAGTGGCGACAGATTGTGTGCTCGAAGCCAAGGCCAAGATGGAAATTCACTCAACCCAATACGTTTGTTGATGGAGAAACCGTGGAGGTTAAACTGTATGAGGAGAATAACAAGGGAATCATTCAATCATGGGCTGAGAGAGGGATTTGAAGGCATCAAGATTGGAGTGCATGGCAAATAGGGTGTCTTTCCTCAAATTCCTGAAATGGATATTCTGCCTTCCCCGCTTTTAATATTTCCGGCCCGCCCCGTCGTGCCTTCCGCGTATCAGTCCCACTCAACGATACTTTTCTAAAATTAGGTACCTTTTGTGTGGTAGTATACCCATACAAAAGGTACTTATACCCCATATTATGTTCTCAACCCTCTGGCTAGTTAAAGGAGAAATAAGGGTTTAAATCAACAACAAATCATAGTTAAATTAATTGGCTAATAAAAGAAATTTCAAATATCTTATATAGAGAAGTAAAGACCATATTTATGAAAGAGATATATGTAGAGACATCAACGTTCTACCACTTGGAGAATACTCAATATTTCTTCCTAATATGTTAATAGTAAATAAAATGGACCTCCTTTAGACTATATATTCCCTACTATATTTTTTGTAAGTATTCCCAGAAGTGACAAAATCTCTGTTTCATGTTCATGTACCTTTTGTATGGGTATACCATATAAAAGACACCTAAAAAGAAAAATCTCGTTTCGTGAGAATCTCTCGTTATGTGGGACAGACCCATACCTGGTACAGTTATGGGGGTGGTAAGACGGCTAATATCCATCTCTTGTACTTGGTATCTGGAAGGAGATGCACTACGTATTACACATGTGTTCCCTCTTTGCTTGTTGTAATACATTTTGATGGATATATTCTTCGTTCTTCCTAGCTACATGATTATCTCCGCGGTCAATTCTCCATTTTGATTAACCATGGGAAATCATACCCAAATGACATTCCCTGAATCAAACCCATTGGCCTCATTGCTCCATGGAAGTATATAACTTCGCTGGTTACTCACAACCCTAATCCCCCTCTCCTTAAACTCCGTTGAGTAATGTGTATGCCCGAAGACCCAGTTTTTCACACCATTCCACGGCTGCGATAATAAGTCTGTGGCAAATGCAGCACTCCAAGGATTCTTCGCATGCTGTGGACTCGATGTACGGTGCATAGCGGGTGCATGATGTGTTGCGACCAGAATCGACCGTTTCGATAATTCCGTAGGATTTGTTTTGTGGTTATTATAAATCGATTGGACCTCATTGCGTAGCCAATTCAAGTCGGACTCATGCGCCGCATTATGCTCGTCGACCGTCCAATCCTTGATTTTCTGGAAATCCTGGATTTTGTAATGGACAATATCTCTGGAGTTTTCGGGAATATTAGACCAAAAAGTAAATCCCAGTACGGTGACATGGGAGTCTGGGATGTCATATCGTCGTTGGTGGAGTAAAATGAGTCGTCCATTTAAAGATGGCTCTTGTTCAAGTCGCCTCACTGTTTCGAAAGCCAACTCAAAGGATCCGCCATAGAACTCATGATTGCCGAGGATAACTCAAATTTCTCCACTTGCCTTTGGAGGAAACGAAGGTATTGATCGTAGTCTGCTAAACGCCCAATACCCCCGGCCAGCAGCAGATATTTGGAGACAACTGGCACGTCAAATGATGTGTATTGCTGGTTCACTTCCAAGTGAAGATCAGAAAGAGTATGAATGGAGACAGACGGCTGGCTGAACAATTTTCGGATAAATTGGGCCATCATAGCCTTGAACAGGCTCCAGAGGCTGAGAGAAAAGTACGGAGTAAAACATCAGGTGGGTTTGGTGGGTAGTCATGTGACTGGCAAGTGGATCAGCTGATCTCTCTAGCGTTATCTATCCAAACTTCCAGCACCCTGGAGATGTCCAGCATGGGCTCCTAGGGTAGGAGATCTCTCTACCCTATAATCGTCTGCAGTCTCTGACGCTATGACCATCTATGCAGAGGTCACCTGACCTGATGGAGATAAGCCGGCCCACGGATAATTCTCGGCTATTCTATCTTCCCAGGGTCCTATCATGTGATCCCCATCTCCCCACCTTTTCGACTATGTAGTCCCAACAACACCTTATGACCAAGAACAAGATCCCCGTGGGCCTCCGGCTCCTCTAGTGGGGAATTCAATCAACAAATTGCGCTCTATCACATTTAGTTTGGGAGTGCTCCAGGGAGTTGAGAAATGTCTTCTTAATTTACCTTACTGCCTCGGAAACAAGAACAACAAGCAGCTATTAATGGATGACGGTTGGATTCGCTTTATCATCAATGCATGTACAACACGGACATTAGCGCATGCAGCCATGAAGCTTCATATTGATTTCGGTACGTTATAACATCAAGAATTAAGTGGACCCTGGACCCTGGTAATAGCAGAATTTCCCTCGCAATATTTCCTCCCTCGCAATATTTCCTCCCTCCCAATATTTCCTGGTTGTTCGTGTAGGCATAACAGTGCTCAACAAAGGCGAGAGAACTACATCAAGCCTCCATAAGTTTGCCCATCTTCACTGCGCTTCTCATCCTTCGTGAAGTATTTCTTGAGGCGTTCCTCGTCTTTCTTCAGCTGGGAACGCAGCCCGCCCTCGTTTGCGTGATGCTTGTCCTGGGCGGCATGGTCCTCGCCGACCTTATGTTTGTCCTGGGCGGCATGGTCATGGTCTTCACCGTGAGGCTTGTCCTTGGTAGCCTGGTTCTCGCTTCCATGCTTGTGGTGATCATGGTGGTGGTGGCGGTCGAGGATCTTCTCGAAGAAGGAATCCTTGTGTTCGAGCTTCGGGGCGTCTACATTGAACCTCGGGTTAGAATCTGGGGGTTAGAAGGCTTAAGTAAAAAGTCACGAACCTTCAGTCATCGTGGGCAAATTTGATGAAAAATATATAGTGTAGAATTCTGGAAATTGTATCTTATTTGGGGTTTAAAAATGCTCCGCTAGGTGATGTCAAAGACTCTTTCATCTACTATATATACATCTCTTGAACGTACGATACTTCGTGAACTGTCGGAATGAACCTTGGTAATGACGTGTTGATCGATCTCTAATCGGCCAATCAGAGGGCCTCGGGAGGTATCGGGTATAGAGTCGATAGGTATAAGCAGTACTGTCATAGATAATTGATCTACTTACTCCGGCACGAGTCAACCGATACTAGCAAATTTGAAGACAAAACTACGTAGTGCCTAGATAACCCCATAAAAATTCATTGATCAGCATAGTCAAATGGCATTCTATCTGCGATATAAATGACTGTTTTCAAATCAATTGTATGTGAGAATCAGTGTCCGCAATTCGAAATCAACACAACGCATGGGATAATGTGACTATGCAACAAAGTATTGTGCAAATAGATAGCGGAAAGCATTGCCTGTAGAGACTGCTCCGGGCCGTTTCACAGCCTGATGTGCTTCTCTTCCCTCTTTTCTCGATACTATCACCATTTTAATCCAATTCTCGTTCCCGTGCCTGCTCCGGTAAAAACGTAAAAGTTCCTCCGGAACACTATATCTGCCCCTAGCTCACGCTGGCAAGTGATCTATCTTCTGTCTGCCTTCCCTCTATCATGTCGCCTATTCTAGCTCAATGGTGCCAGGGGGCTTTGAGGTTCTAGAAAGACAAAATGTCAGCGCATGGCTCAAGACCAATAGAGGCTAAGACTTATACTTACAAATCATAGACGACACGGGCAACACCCTCCACCTTGTTGCAAATGGCGCGCGAAACATCCTAGGGTAGACAGGTTTGTAAGTATAGGAAATAATGAAATTGGGCCTTTGTGGGAAGGGATGGAGTGGGTTGGGTCCGTGGTATAGGACCCACCCGCCCGCCTTGCGGAGAGCCCGAAGTATAACCAAGACCTGACTCACCTGGAGGAAGGAGTTACTGAAGTCAAACACTTCTGCGCTCATGAAATCCTTGGTACGAACAGCACGGAGAATCACAATGTAACCCCAAACTCGCTGATCACCGAATACACCAACACTGCGGTTAGTATCGAGACCAGCAAAGGCTTGAGATATCTGTGGGAGAAGAGTTAGTTTGCACCCGTCTTCGCCTGTGTGACCCGACTTACCTGGTCGTAAAGGCCGGCCTCCTTGATCATGCTGATGAAGATGTGGTCAGCCTTACGGGCGATCTCTACTCGCTCCTTGGTAACGTCGCCGAGGATGCGAATGGCAATGCCAGGACCCGGGAAGGGGTGTCGGTTCACTAGTGACTCGTGTATGCCGAGCTGTCGGCCAATGGCCCTCACTTCATCCTTGAACAAAAGTCTAAGCGGCTCAATAAGCTGTAACAGAAGTCCCGTCAGCTTTCTCTGCGTTGATGAAGAGATGGAAAGTATACTTACACGCAAGCCTTGCTAAACGGGCCATGTTGGTTAGTAAGTAAATCAAACGATACTAGATTAGCTCGACTTACGCCGTTCATCATCCGCTAATGCTGGTTAGTTAAGATCCTTTTATATTCGGGACGGTGGTATTGCTTACCTCAGGCAGACCGCCAACGTTGTGGTGAGCTATTTCTAATGTCAGCTTTTGTTCTCTCTTTTGTCCGTGGGGCAGTCTTCTGCTCCCGAGACCTCGTTGACTCTCTTACTCTTGATAGTGGCCGAAGGCCCGCGGAAGCTCAAAGATTCAATACTAAAATGTTATTAGTTTGGACCAGGCAATCAGCGCAGAATGACTTACACGTCAGGATATAGTGTCCCTTGCAGGAACCATTCCACCTTCCCGGTGTTGGGGGTGTTTTCTGCCTCCTTCTCAATCTGCAAGTCCTGTTAGCTAGCCAAATAGCCTGTCAGAGAAGGTCGAGCGTACCCTAATAGCCTCTTTCTCGAACAGATCGATGACTTCAATGTCGTTAGTACCCTGTCACCAACACATCCCAAACAGCTTGAAGTACGCACAAGTTGACCCAATGATCTTCCGCTTCTTTTCGGGGTCAGAAACACCCGCCAGACGACCCAGGAACAGCTCGCCAGCCTCGACAACTGTGAGATTAATGCCAAGGTGTTCGCCGAGCGTGGCCTTGACCTCCTCGCACTCATTGAGACGCATACATCCAGTGTCGATGAGAATGGCCTTAAAGCGGTCTCCGATGGCATCACGCATGAGGGCTGCTCCCACAGTGCTATCCACACCACCGCTGACAGCTCCAAGGACGAGTGCTCGGTCACCAACAAGATCGCGGATGCGAGCGATCTCGAGCTGAGCGAAGTCGCCCATTTTCCAACTCGGTTTAGCGCCGCAGATATCAACACTGAAGTTGCGGAGGATCTCGCTTCCGCGGGGTGTCTAGATCTGAATATTAGAGGGAGTTATAGTGTAATACCTTGGGGGTGACGAACGTGTTCGAGCTCAGGGTGGAATTGGACGCCTAGTCACCTTGCATTAGCATATTCCCTTACTGGGCCACAAAGGCAGCTTGGGGGAAGACAAACCAAAGATGGGCTTCTCCTCATGGGCGATGCCGGCGTACTCTGAGTTCTTGGTGTCCGCAATGATCACGAAACCCTATTAGAGTCAATAAAAGTGCTTCGGAAATACGAAGTCATTTCACTCACAGCAGGCAGGCTAACTAGCTTGTCGAAGTGGGACATGAACACAGGAATTTCATCCCCCAATCCAGCAAAGAGGCGGTCGACATTACTATTAACCTTGGTGATTTTGAGGTCGGCGTGGCCATACTCTGCGAGGAAAGGGTCAGAAATAATTTTATATGGTGTTCCGAAGGTTGCAAACCTCGAGTTTCTCCGCGAGCAACGTTCGTTGAATCGATCCGCCATGCGATCTCCTGGCAACCGTAGCTGGGTGATTTGTATTAGTGTCGTACCGATGTCGATGTTGGAGGAAGGCATACCAAATACCCCTATACCCCGGTGTTAGTACAGGTTCAGAACCTTGAGGGATGGGCGGGGAAAACACTCACAGAATAGGTACATTAAGGTCAAAAACAGCGGGGTCAACATCTACACATATGAGTACAGGCAACAGGACGTTCGGGGGATGAAAACCTTACGGGGCGAGCCCTCGTCGTAGACGGAAGAAGGACCTAGTATCTTAGTCAGACCTCAGCACAAACCATGTGTTAAGAGACTTCATACCTCCAGAGAACACAATTCCTTTGGGCTTCCATGTCAGCTCAGCGATCTTGGTGGTACACGGAAGCAGCTCAGCGAAGACACCGAGAGCCCGAAGCCGACGTAGGATAAGATGGCTCGTTTGAGACTTCACAAGGGGAGTCAGCATTTGGCATTTGAAGAGGGCCAGGAGCCGGCCAGCAGTAATGAAGCTCCGTTATCTGAAACAGGCCGAAAGAGAGGAAAGATGGCGCTCGAGATTTACATACGCCAAAATCAAGAACGAGGATAGTCTAGAGAGTCAATTGTCAGTCAATCCGTTCTTTTTGCGTTTATGACTCAATTGCGCCGGCACGGCCTAGGGCTGCTTGATCGCAAGTTGCTGAAAGCGGGACAAGTGGGTTTCCTGGCTCGCCATTGGGATATGATGGTACGTACGTCAAAGTTGTTGTGAGGCTCTTCGGCCTCGATAGTGGGAGCCATTATGATCTTGGTTTCGGCAGGGTATCGAAAGGATTAGCGGGGTGAAGTGAGGGAAAAAAAAAATATGTTTGGTATAATTGTACCGCCTCCGCGGCCGCCTCCTAAATAGGACACCGCCTTCAAAATGCTCTATCGCGGGTGAATCCACGTGACGCTGTACGCTCTTGAAGAATCTTTTGGATGTTTGGTAGCATCTTCTTTTCGAATAGCAAAGAAAAAACCACGGCAGACTCGAAAGCGCCCTGAAAAAGGTGGTATCTGTCAATCTAGATTGGGTCGACTTGGTGACCCACTCCAGAATTCTCACCTATATCACTTACACTCACCCCAAGAAAAAGAAAGAATTGTCGCATCCAGGTCATCGTGACGCCAGCCTGAAGTTCAATTGGGGTATCTTCACCAGGGTAGGTGCCGTTACCCCTAGGAGCCACAATGTTGCCATTGCTATGTCGTCGGATAGACTAGTAGAATCGGAATAACGAGCAGAATTGGGGTTTCAAGTGAACAAGTAAGAAGACCTGCTGTTGAAAATCAAATCGTTCCAGACCCTATAAGATGTATATGTGTCTTGTCAACAGCTCCATGGTTATTGTTTTCAAGGACGTCATGGAACATGAGCGCTGCTTATGGCGAATTCAATGCACATCAATGGATGATTGCACTATGGGATACAGGTTTCTATGTACCAAATAGATTAAACCCGGCCATACCTGAGCTTTATTATTGATCGAAAAGTGATGAGGAACAGGAAACAGACGTAGGCAAATGTTCGCGACCAACCCTACGTGCCAAGGCTGATCAATCCTGTCCGAGGTAAACGCCGACGCGATAACTTCCAATGCAAGTGGAGCTCGGAATTTTAACGGACTTTTAAATGTCATGACATTGGTCGGTTTCCCCGACACAAAATTATGACCTGAGAGATCGTCGACGACATTGGGGCTCGGGTAAAAGCCGGAGACCACAGACCTATGAACCCCGTGGGGAGTCGCTCCACTATGATTCCACTTTGTCATCTCTTCCCCTTTGGGAAAGGCAAATCCAACTTCGTGATTTCTACATAAATACCTTTCTAATCCCTATCTAGGAGACTTCATTATCAGTCAACCTTCAACATGAAGCTCCTCTTGTCACTGTGCCTACTCGGTACCAGCTTGATGACCGGAGTTGCCGCGTCGCGCAAAGAAGTAGTAAGTGGCACGTCTGCGGTTGCAAGCAAGAAACTCCCCTCACCAAGACGAACGCAGCGGTCAACACATGAAGCTCCAAAATGTGCCAATTCTGCCTCCACGCTATCCCTTAGCGACCCTCCTTACGACAACTATTTCTACTCCGACTGCAATGTAGCGGCCCAGGTAGTCGTCACTAGTCCATTGCCAGATAGCGACCTTTCTTTGATCGCACCTCGTTTGATCATAGCTTGGCCTGCTGGTGACAGTGGGGCTTGCGCATACTTCGCGCCTCAAAACGGGGTCAACGGGTCATTATCACTCGAGCTCATCAATTCAACCATCGGGAAGCCCTTGGCACCCATCTACACCGCGGAGCTATCAAATTCATCTAATACCTATCCCAGTGTGGGAGTTCAAGGCGTACTCCGGTTCAATTCGTCTGCAACACTGACCGTGCCTGTTCTGGGCAGCATCCGCTCAATCCGTGAATTCAGCGAAGGAAGTGTCCTTAGGCCTAAGATTCAGGATGCGATCAAGTTTACTTCTAATAGCGATGGGAGCGCCTCGCTCCAGCGACTCTGGTTCGATAATGTCACCACAACAAGCCTCCATTTCCGCCCTTGGAATAATGGCAGCAACAGCGACAAGGGCAGCATGGTATCGGTAGATGGTCGCACCGTGAAATTCGAAACAGGCGACTATCTTTTTTCCGCGGAAATTAACTATCCTCAGTTATCCCAGACCAGTCCAACCGCAGTGCTGAACGAAAATTCTCAGGAGCTAATCTCGTCTATGCCGGATCAGACGAAGGCGCTTTCATTTATGTCATACTCAAGTAAGGTTCTCGCAGGCGCATGGCATTACCTGACCTATTTTGGTCGTGACTCAATGATTACTGCGCTTTTGTTGGAGCCTGTTTTGAGTGTTGGGAATGCAAGTGTTATGGAGGCAGTGATTGGTTCTGTTTTGGAGCGGGTTGATCGAACAGATGGAAGTGTTTGTCATGAGGAGACTATTGGGTGGGTTTTGTGTTGCAATTTCCAATCTGGTGGTTCTAAGACATTTGATTGGAAGATGCTCTTCTATATGATATGCATGGCTAACTACGGAATAGGGACTATGCGACCTGGTCTAACTTGCAAAATAATATCCCAAGCAACGCAATGGGCTGCGACTACAAAATGGTCTGTTGAGTAATCACTCCAGTGCTATTGTCCCATCGGGCAATATGACCAAAGAGGCAAAGCTAATTGAGTCTTTTATCAAACAGATTGATTCGGACTATTTTCTCCCGATCCTTATGCAACGGTATTTTCTGCAGAATTCTGTTGGTCAACAGCGAATCAAAACCTTCTTCAAGTAAGAATTTCTACCCTCCTGATTTATAAAGGAAATCACTAATACTTCTTCTCTAGTACACCGGCTGGCTCGGCCAATGTGGCGAATCGGAATTTGACCTTCGGCGATCTGGCTCTAATAAATGCTGAGCGAATCATGCGTCTTGCGGGCCCGTTTGCTCATAACTCTATCAAAAAGAACCTCATTCATCTCAAAGAGGGCCAAGATATCGGCCAATGGAGAGACAGTGAATACGGTGAGCAGAACCCTGCCTTCTCGAAAATTCCCAGGGTATATTTGTAAATTGGACGCTGATTTTTGACAAAACTTTGAAATAGGTATCGGTGGAGGACGTATACCCTATGATGTAAACACGGCTCTGGTCCCAGCAGCCCTGCGCTCTATCGCAAGTCTTGCACAGAACAACAGCATCTTTTCGGGACGCAAGAACTGGTCTAAACTCGCCAATGCCTACGCAACTGTATGGGAGGACAAGACCCTGGAATTTTTCCGCTTGAAGATCCCCCGGTCCGAAGCACAATCACTTGTTAAATCCTACGTCAACGAATCCTCCTTTGCAGGACCCAACCAGGTCTCATCCATTGACGACGATGTTACTTTCTATGCACTGGCACTGGACGGCAACGACAAACTTTCCAAGGTGAAAGTAATGAACACGGATGACTGCTTCAGACATTTCCTTCTCAATATTACCAATAACGCCCAGCTCACCCCGTTCCTCAACCAAACTGCCAATAACATCAGACGCACCTTTCCGGCTGGTCTCATGACTGATGCAGGCATGATAGTTGCCAATCCGGCCTTCGGTGGGGATCCTGTTTATGCAAAAAACTGGACGACGGGTGCTTATCATGGAACCGTCATTTGGTCATGGCAGCTTGCTATGATGGCAAAGGGATTGGAGATGCAGCTTGAACGGTGTGAGTTGACAACGGAAAAGCTTGGTCATAATGGACAGCAGCACGCGGCAACACCCAAACCGAAGTTTTGCTCTGATAAATATGTCTACGACAATGTCAAAGCCGCCTATAATGAACTGTGGGACTCGATTGAGAAGAATACTTCGCAGCTCTCTGCCGAAGTTTGGTCTTGGGTTTATCGTGACGATGGCTTCCAGGTCACCCCGCTAGGAGTGCTGCCACCCCCTGGTGGCGGTAGCCAGATAGGTAAGGTCTTCTCCGGTTATCAGCATCATCCGATTTTTTTTTCGTGTTCCTTTTTTGCTAATTGCCTTTATATCTGTAGAATCCAATATTCAACAGCTTTGGTCTCTAGCCTTTTTGGCTGTTTCCAGGAACAAAGCTTATAAAGATTGAATGCAAATATCTCAGTTCATGCCGCTTTTATCCGATTCCATCGGAATTCAATAGATGGACGGTTAACAATGGTGGAAGACGGCAGCTAACTTTCCAGTTTACTTTCGAACGTGAAACCTTCCATACCGATATGTGCAGCATACTTTCATCTGTATATACTCTTTCAACAAGGCAAGCTGCTACAATTAATCTCTACTTTTCATACTTGCGATATATATATGCAAGTTCCTATCCGTTAGTGCATTATATAAAACAAGGCATATTCACTACTCTCGGTGCTACTCTTTTAATTGTTGACTCTTACTAGGCTCTATCACAACTATAAAATCTCTTTCCATGATGACGATCGTTGAAAAGAGCGAGCAGAAACATGGATATGGAGGATTTAACTACCGCCTACCAAAGATATATGCAACACAGTGACGGTAATGGCGAACACACCTTGAGGATATCAGTGTTTAACTAGACTGTTGTACTTCTGGAGACAAAGGATCGTTCAGATGATAGCCCTTAGAGCACCGATAGAGGCGGGTGTTTCCCACGCAATTTCCAAAGCAGGAGCAAGTATACGGAGGACCGGCCGGAAAAATATCTGCCAAGACCAGCCTAGATAAGAATATAGTGAGTATGGACATCACAGATCACACGATGTCCGAAGTAGCTAAAGACTAACTTTAAGCCAAGTACGACTGATACGAACTGTCTAGAGGTCCGTTCCGTGAGACTAGAGGCACCCACACGCCATACTCTGATACCTATTTAGCTTCAGCTGACGCTGGCTGATTCCCCATAATGTGAGTGAATAATATCAGATACAGCACAAGTATTCATCAAGTTGTCTAGGTCAGACCTCGGGAGATGAAGGGGTGGATCTCCTATATTCGTCTTAGACAAATCCTTGGCAGCCTCGACCATATTTAGAGTTCCACCCAATGTAACCTAAAGCTGTGGTCTGGTGCTTAGTAAGACGTTTAATTGAAGGCAATCTCGTTTAGCCTATTTAATCAATTTGGTGGTAATGCTTGGCTTTATCATTGAGTGAATAATAAATGCCTATACTCCGTACAGCTTCGCTTTATTTCACCGTGAACTTGATTGGACCACACTTAAATTGATAATATCTCCACAGAGTCGGGAGTAACACATTAGCAGATCAAGCGAAAACCATGCACTATTGGCCCGGGGAGACACCGGACGAGAAGCAGGGAGGGAGACGAAGTGATCAAAGAAAGAAACAGTGAATACTCATTTGCTCGGTGTCTCGGTGTCTCGGCACAGAACCGAGAAGTCTAAATAAATTAAAATAAGGCCGAACGAACATCACACCCGAGCACATGCAGCAGCAAATGTAACCCTAGCTAAAGGGAGGCGATTAAAGCGAAGGTGATCCGTCGGGATTCCGGCTGCCAAGTGCTTACCTGCTGACTATAGCCGGGGTTTCTCCCACGTAATCCGGAATCAAAGTGACATGCATTGCCTAAATTAGGGCGAAAGTGTCGGACAAAGCGCAGGATGGGTTAGCGTCAAAACTCCAACAAATTAGCGTCAACGGACCTACCTTATCTAAAGAATGCTAGGAATGCCACCGGAAGTCGGTGGATACACATGAATATATATGCTTTCTGTATCGTGCTTTGAGACTAGTATTATCCTACAGATATCACACCTATTAAAAGATTCTAGAGACTGTTGACATATAAACCAAAATCAATTAGAACATAAGACAGGCGCTAGGGAACTCAATGGAAAGTAGAAAGGGTCCGAGCTCTCCGGGGCTAGCATGTCAACATCTTAGGGCAAATGTTATCATCAGGGCCAAATAGGGGGTTCTCAAAAAACGATCAGGGTTCAATTGTTTTTTATTATCGCGGTGCGTGGCAAGACAGTTCTGTCGCCGCAAGCATGGTGGCTCATTTCATGGCTGCATGGTATCATAAACATGGTCAGCTCAGTGGTCCGATAAGAATTTATTTTGGATTATAAAGAGGATCATAGGACCGAATAAAATGCGCGATCAGCTCTACAGCCATACTCCAGCGTACTGTCCTCAAGTATGTCCAAGTCGCCTGTAGAAACCAGTGACTTGTCCACGGTGGCTAGCCAGGAAGCCATTGGCGAGAAGTATCCTGCTGCTGTGGTTACTACCAAAGATGAGCATGGACATGGTGAAGATGACGCCGACAGCGATCCGGACGCGATTATCATCACCGGTGCTGACGCAGCTATTCATCTCTTATCTCTTCGAGATGACTTTGACACGGTCTTGACCTTTCGCAGTATATTACTTGCTTCCGGCCTTGCGTGTTTCCAGGCTGTGATGAACCAGATTTATCAGGTATTTCCAATCCATCTATTGCCCATAGAGATACTAACAACTCGTTCTATAGTTCAAACCGACCTTGATTACGATTCAAGGAACCTTCATCGTTCTCATCTCCTACTTTGTCGGCAATGCCTGGGCGAGATTCCTTCCCCGTGGCGATAAATTCGAAGCTCGCTGGAGGGCGAAAGGCGGCCAGGGAGCCCTACCATGGTGGATCAAGGTCATAAAGTTCTTCAACTACGGGCCATGGAGTTTGAAAGAACATGCAATCTGTTCAATCACTGCTACGTCGGCCTCAAATGCGGCGTCTACCTCAACCGTGTTTGCAGCACAGGATCTATTCTACAATCTTCCCCTCACCCCCGCGACTGTGATCTTGAGTACTATCTCTATTGGCCTGTTTGGCTACGGGATCTGCGGAATTCTGCGTCCCATCGCTGTCTGGCACACGGAGGCCGTCTACTGGAGTAGTTTGCCTACCGTCAAGACTCTCCAGGGACTTCATTGGCAGGAAGTCAAAAACTCGAAACCGCTTCGATACTTTTGGTATGCATTCACTGGCATGTCAATATACGAGATCATTCCTGCCTACATCTTCCCGTGGCTAAACTCTGTGTCTATTCCGGTAAGTGGTATCGCAATGATCTCTTCAGATGAACTTTCTGATTATGAGAATCTCATTGGAACAATTTATTAACTTCGGACTTTATAGTGTTTGGCTGCACAAAAGGCCACTGGGGAAACTGGTGCCGTACTCAACAATATCTTTGGTGGGGCAACCAACAATCAGGGTCTCGGTCTATTTTCGTTCTCGTTCGATTGGCAATATGTGAGATGATGTCCCCCTATAACACATTGATCTATCAAGTCATCTAACAGAAGCAGCTCACCTCTTTCCAAACCTCACTCCCTCTCAAACTGCAAATTCATCAGGCAGCTGGACTTTTTTCCTGCTTCTTTATTATGATAGGCATTTATTACGGAAATGGCTGGAATTCGAGATCACTTCCATTCATGTCGACGAGAATGCTCACGAACAACGGCACCACATACCCCCTGCACGACGTTTTCCCCGGTGGTGTCCTCGACGAGACTGCCCTGACCAAGTTTGGCTTGCCGAGGCTCACTGGAACTTTTGCATTCGCCATGTTCATGGCCAACGCAGCAATGGGTGCCCTGATCGTTCATTGCATCTTATTTTGGGGCAAGGATATCCGTCGCTCCTATAAAAGCGCGAGAGAGGGTAGATATGATGATCGGCACCATGATCATATGGCCAAGCATTACAAAGAGGCTCCGTGGTGGTGGTATATCGTCGTGCTTGTTGGCAGCTTTATTCTCGGCATAATTGTGACTGTGAAAGAAAACATCACCTTGTCGGTTTGGGCATATGTTATTTCACTGCTAGTAGGATGCATTATCGCCCCCTTCGTGAGTACAACGTCCTCGATACTGAGCTTCATGCAGAAAAACTGACTATGACCGTGCTATAGAGTGTCATCCTCTATTCTCGCTTCGGTAATGGTATTGCAACCAACAATTTGTCAAAAATGCTGGCTGGACTCATCCTGCCTGGACGCCCGGTCGGTAACATGTACTTCGCTGCCTGGTCGCATAACGTCATTTCAAATGCGGTTATGCTTTCCAATGACCTGAAGATGGGCGAATACCGTGAGTATCTATGTCATTGTTTTGATCAAAGATATGTTTTTAACTTATCTCTTAGTCAAAATCCCGCCCCGGATCATGTTCCTGACACAGTTGTACGGCACAGTTCTTGGTGGTTTCGTCAACTACGCCATCATGATCTCTATTGTGTCAAGCAATCGAGCGCTTCTCACCGACGGCAATGGAAATTCCTCCTGGAGTGGTGCAGGCATACAATCTTACAACACCAATGCCGCATCATGGGCTTTGGCTCCCTATATCTATAAGATTGGTACCCCATACGGGGCTATACCTATTGGTTTAGCCGTTGGAGCTGGTGCTGTGGTTGTTCACCGCATCTTTTATCACGTGAGTAACCCCATAGCCTTCCCTATTGCACTTGGAACTGACATCCGTTTGACTCTTAGTTTGTACCCAAAATCGGAAAGCTCGACGTTGCGGAAATCAATCTCCCGCAGTACATCCAATACGCCGGTTATATTCCCTACAACCAAAGCCAGACCTGCGTCATCTTCACCTGGATCACCGCCGGATTCTACGTTCAATATTATCTCCGCAACTATAAGCCGCGGATTTTCAAGGATTATTCATATCTCATTACCGGCGCCTTTGATGGTGCTAGTTTGACGGTTCTCTTCATCCTCTCGTTTGCTGTTTTCGGCGCTGGTGGGCCTTCGCACCCATTCCCAACGTGGTGGGGAAACAACGATAATGGGAACTACGATTGGTGTCCGGTAGTAGAGTAGGGGAAGGGAGTTAGATGATAGGGAATTTGAATCCACAGAGAAAGTTGGTCACGGGAGTGTGAATAGTGCTGTCGCTGAACTCCGAGCCAGAACAATGTCATAATTATTATTTAAGTTGCGGGCCGTGGATCTTTGACGGGCGAATATCGACATATTCACGGGGCGAGAACCAGATGGCGGATAGACTGTAGTCTCTGCGGTAGTAGGCAGTGGTTCGAACAATAGCTTCGGTTTATTCTTCGTCGAAACAGTATTCGGTGGCGGAACGATATCCATGGGGCAAAAGGGTAGCCATTCTGGAGGTTTGTCCGGTACGGGGTCCTAGCAAGAATCGCGACTCGCCAGTGTACCTCCCCGAACACTTCTTGGGGCCGATGTTATCGTATGGAGACGGGACTGGATCACGGACCTGAGTGGCTAGAATTCATTGCACGGGGACTTCAATAGCGTTTAAGGGAAGTTTTACTGTTTTCGCGAGACTATTATCTTTCCAAGGGATACATCACAGTGAGCTCTGATTGGCTAGTGACATAAGGACCTCGCTCCTCACGGTACGCTCTCCAACCACTATATCATTATCGAGCTGGCCTATGCCATTGCTATAGTGAACAAACAAAAACAAAAACATACAACAGTGAGGATTCGCTGGTGGTCACCCACCCAACTACTAACTCACCGGCGTGTGGCTTGAGTACGGCTGAGCGGACGGGAAGCCCTATTTTCCACACCCTATGGTCGTA